TTATTATTATTATTATTAATATTATTATTATTATTATTATTATTATGTAGTGATGATGTTGTTTGTACTGTTCTTTAATTTTATTAAAGAGGGCCCCTGAATGTCAGTTAACCAACTGGGCTAAACTAGAAGGGTTACCCTCTTTAAAGATGGTTGAAACAAAAAATAAAATAAAAAAAATATACCCACTTTGACCCAAGACCCCTGTTACGCGCCTGGTGTTAGCGCCAATGTGTGACCTTGTGCGGACAGGAGATGTGCCCCCCTCTAGCTGAAGCTGGAAACCTTGTTTTTGCAAAATAAATTGATGCAATTTGCTGTTATAGGCCTAATCAATAAATTCCTCATCAACCGATATAACCTTAAACCTGTCTCTTATACACATCTAGATGTGTATAAGAGACAGGACGTACACCAAAGGCTGACAGAAGCAAGGAAAGAAGAGCTTAGATTGGTACCAGATAAAATAATTTTGTTATCAACATTAATACATTATACTAATCTTCATCTTTGTAAGCGCATACGACAGTGCAAATTATTTCTGTGACAGTCTTTTGACTGCTCCATTTTATCCCATACATAGTCAAAATATTGGGGGAGGGGGTGATACAATGGACCATCCCCCCCTTGTCAAATATTGGGGGGATATATCCCCTCCATCCCCCCGGGATCTACGCCTATGGTTATTAACGCTACCTGCAGACCCCAGATTAGTTAACGCCACTGAGCTAACGCCAGTGATGCTGGTGATGATTTGACCTCATTTCAAGAGATTGACCAATCACGATTGCAATATACAGTATTAGCTACTTTGGTCTTTTTCCTGTGCTCTCTATAAATGAAATGGTAAATGGGTTCTTTTTCTATTGCATTTTACTTAGTTATAATGTTTATGATTTGTTGATTGTGCTTTGTAAGATATTTTAACCTATTTAGACTGTCTATTAAATCCTGCAACACCAACAATGCTAGCTGAAAAATCAAAGTAAAATTGTTCATTTAAAATACAATAATCATAAAAGTTCACTTCGAACAATTCACAGATTTAAAAGAGTTTTACTGATGCACTGTTAATTTTACTACAGGTAAGAATCCGTACAATATTTAAAACTTAAAACTATTCCCCCATAGGCCTATATTACTACTAGTTCAACGCCAGCGTTAATATAGCGATCGCCGTTTGTGTGAACACTTTGGAATTTTAATCCGTGAATTAGCTTACGCCTGGCGTAAGCTACGCCAGTCTTACGCCGTGTGTGTGAACATAGCCTAATGTTACGTTATCTCACTATATTAATGGGATTAACACATTATCAAGGATAAGTCCTTGGATTCAATTATGGGTAAACGGATTAGTTGCCTTTTTTATGAGGTTTTAATTGTTCTTTACCGCCGAAAGTGCGGTATTCTAACGTTAGTTTAAGGAGGGCTGGTCGGCCTAATGTGTTATTAATACTATGCTGGCCTCGTGGTAAGTCAGCTGTACCGCTATCCAGCTGTTTCGACAACAAATTAATCTCAATGCTGTTTTCTCTTCGGACTTTTATTCAAACGTTGTTCGAAAACTATAATAAAATACAATAACAATAACAATTATAACGATTAAGACAATAATAATACAGTTTATAGCAGACAATTCCTAAAACGTTATTAGCGCCCTCTGGACGCTCTATTCATTGTGCATATATACCGCCCTCAACTCATGTTAGAATTTCGCAGGGAAATTTCTCCTCACTACAACAACAACGATCAGAAATTGATGCTCAGCGACACCACACACTGCTTGCGGCGGCCTAAATCATCCTAGCTAGTAGACCCCCTGCAATTCCGGGCTAACTTTTCTAACCCACTATATAAGAACGAATTCACATAGCTACACCTACATTAAGACTCAAACATGGTCTATAACTAAAATATCAACTGCTAATAATACTGATTATAATAAACTTACATTTTAGCCCATCTAAACAACAAAATTCGTTGCCAATATCAATGAATATTCCTCTTATACACATCTAGATGTGTATAAGAGACAGCAATTTACCTTCGCGAAAATGGTATCGCCCAGGCTATTCTTTTGCATTAACGATTTTGCAATGTCTGGCTGCTTTTGCAAAGCGTGGCTGACCTCGCCTCGCTGTCGGTCTGCAGCAGGATGCAATTGTCTCATACTGGCAAACGCACGAACACCAAAATGTAGGGGGCGCAAGTAATTTCGTCTCAACGAAACACCAGCTAGATAACCACTTGTTTTTAAGACCCGCAAAAGAAACAAAGTTGACTGCTATTCAAACTCTGCTTTTTATTAAGCACTCAAAGAACAAACGGTAAATGCGAATAAACAAACAGAAAATACAACTCAGCATGTGTTACTCCTATATAAATCCAGTACTACTGTACCTATATAATCATAGGCATAGAGCGCCCTCAATAGGAACGCTCGAGTTCGGGCATTAACAAAATAGAGCAACTCGTCGATTAATGTTACTGTACTCGGTAATAAACGCCAATTAACTAACAACTATGCTAAACTCTATAGCATTAAAAATATATATCATTACAGTATTATGATTAAACAATAGTGTCAATTAAGCTTTCCTTTGGGCTTAGGGCCTCATATGATTCTGACGTTATGAATGAAATTAAGTTAAAAATGATTACGACTACTTCACTGACCGGCTACTCTTATCTATATAGGTAGCGGAAAATGACTGCAGTGTAAAACATAGGCTAGGCCTGCAACACTATAATCCTACGATGCTGATACAATAACAATACAACTCATATAACTTTAAACAATAATCATTAGTAAACTCACAATTTGCTGAACTCCCTTGGGTATCAAACCGGCATCTGAATCTTAAATAGTGAAAATAGCTAAAGGAATACCCTACACATTACAATGACTTCCATTCTCATGGATGGTAATGGTAAAGTGAAACATAATCTCAAATGGGACGTCCATGGATGTTACCCGCAACCCATGTAAACATATAAAAAATTGCCCGTTGGCAGCACACTCCCCGTCTGGTATCTAAATAGATGCCACAAATATTCTAAATACGTAAGATAGTGTTCATTCAAATAATCAAGTCTAGTTCGATAGAACCAATAGCAAGAGCTCTTGTATGGGTCTTGACAATGTTCTCATCGTACCATCTTGGCTTGCTTCCACCAACATTTTTCTGACGCAACCATCTGCGCTCATTTCTGTCTTAACAATGCGTCCTAGTGGCCAATTGTTCCTATGTCTTCCATTTTCCTTAATGAGGACAACATCGCCTTTCTCCAAATTTCTCTTCTGTTTCTGCCACTTTGGTCTAGTTTGTAGCAGCGGTATATACTGTTTTCGCCACTTTTTCCAAAACATATTCGCAAGATATTGAATACGCCGCCACTGGTTACGGAGCAAGTCATTGCGACTGAAAGTTCCTTCAGGTGCGGTTACTGGAGACTTTTTCATTGTTAACAACATATTTGGTGAAAGATTGAGTGGCAACTCTTGGTCGTTGGTGTTTGGTAATAACGGCCGTGCATTAAAAATAGCTGCGACCTCAGACATCAAAGTCACCAGTACTTCATGTGTCAGCTAACTAGCGTCGACTTCTCTCAACATAGGATCCAATATTCGACGTGCAATACCGATCATACGTTCCCATGCTCCGCCCATATGGGAAGTATAGGGAGGGTTAAATAGCCATTCACACCCATTGCCAAGTAAATAACGTTTCACACAATTTACGTCCTTCTCAGTGAGGCATCTTCCAATTTCATTGCAGGCTCCCACAAAGTTGGTACCGCAGTCCGATCTCCGATCTGTTTCGCCGGCCCTCTCATTGCAAAAAATCTCCGTAAGCATGAACTATCCATGGCTTCTATAACCTCTATATGCACCCCTCTGGACACTAAACAAGTGAACATTACAGCCCACCTCTTGCTATGTGCCTGTCCGCCTCTAGTGCGACGAGCCGACACTAACCACGGTCCTAATACATCAACACCTACGAAGGTGAATGGAGGTGCAGATGTAAGTCTCTCCTTTGGGAGATCTCCCATTAGTTGAGTTTCCAACTTTCCTCTCAGTCGTTTACAGATTACACAGCAATGTATGATCTTTGATAATATGTAACGTTTTCCTCCTATTACCCAATACCCTTCGTTCTGCAAGGTTCTAAGTGTAAAGAGCCGTCCTTGATGCTTACATAGTTGATGGCAGTGTTGAATTATTAACTCCGTCACATGATGATTTTTGCGCAACAGCACCGGGTGCATTTCCTTTTCGGACACATGAGCATTGCAAACTCTGCCGCCAACTCTTAGGATTCCATCTTTGTCTAGATTTGGGTTTAGTTTCCCAAATGTGCAGCCTTTAAGTACATCTCCATTCACCAAACTCACAATCTCTTCTCTGAATGCTTCATTCTGTGTAGACGTTAGGATCACATTCTTGGCCTTCTGAAATTCTTCCAGAGACCTGGGCTGCTGGCAAATATGCCAACCATTGCAGTTCGCTGCATTTCTTTCCGTTATTTTACTTCTGGAATGTATGATGTGAATGAGATTGGCAAAGGCTCTCATTAGTCTATTCCAACTTGAGAATTTAGAGAATCTTTCGCTTCCAAGACAGGCACCGTACACTACTGGTTTGCGACACGTCACTGTTGGCCGTACTTCTGGATCATCTTTTATTTCGTGATTTGTGAGTTCACATGGAGCATATGGCAACGATGGTTTTGGTTTTCGCAAGAATTCAGGGCCTGTTATCCATGGTGATTCCTGCAATTCTTTAACTTTAACAGAGCGTGTAGCTTTATCTGCGGGGTTTAACTCGGTTCGGACATACCGCCATTGCTCTTGGCTGGTGGTTCTGTGGATCCTGCTCACTCTGTTAGAGACATACATGTAAAAACGTCGACTATGACTACTTTGCTGTCTGTATAGAAGCATGATTCATCAATCTGCAGATTGAGTTCTTTTACCAACTCTTCCACTTCCGCTGCAAGGACAGCTCTGCAAAGCTCGAGCCATGGTATGGTTGTAGCTGCTTTTGGAGCTAGTTTAGCTTTTCCCATCACAAAGCTTATGTGTATCTGACAACTACCGTCAGTTGTTCTAAGGTATGTAACTGCACCTATTGCTTTGTCAGATGCATCAGAAAATGTGTGCAACTCCCTACGAATTGACTGTTTTGCTGGGAAAGGAGTGTATGAACTCTGGATCTGTACAGAAGAGAGTGATTTAAGGAATCTCTCCATCTCTGCCATTGAGCAAGATCGATTTCTTGGATGTTAGTTGCAAGATCATGAGGAGCAAAGGCTGCTATAACTTCTTTATTGTTTGATGCTATTTTGTGTAGTTTAATGTTAGCCGTAGCTAATGTTTCTAGTACGTGTCAACAAATCAATTGCTTCTCTGGTTGAAGCAGACGATTTCAGAACATCGTCGACGTAGAAGTTTGATTCGACAAATGCCCTAGCATCACTTCCAAATTCACTTTCTCCTTCTTTAGCAGTTCTGCACAATCTCAGTGTGGCAACAGCTGGTGAAGGTTTATTGCCAAATATATGTACCTTCATTCTATAAGTTACCAGGTTCGCATTTGGGTCATTATCTTCATACCATAAGAATCATCAATTCTGCCTCATAATCAAGTGGTGGTATCTGGTCTGCGATTGGCCTGAGGTGAGAGAAGTATTTTGCCACTTCCGGAGTTGGAATTTCGGCCCTACTTCCAGGGATAGCATTGCATTCAAGCTAGTTAGGTGCAGGTATTCTTACTTTACCATCGTTCGATTCGATGATAAGACCTTTGGCTAGTCGACCGCTTGCTTCTGTCGTGCCAGAACATGTTCTAAGAGTAAATGGTATAGACTGACTCTATTTTATGCAGGTCAAAAACTTCAGTTTTAGCAAGTGATCTGTTGCTTTGGTCATCCAGAATGACATATACCTTAATCGATTTGTATGGTTTTCCTTCCATGTATACCCTGGCCAGGCATATTCTGGCGCAGGATTTGCCTGAAGTCTCAGGTCCGCATACATCTGTACAAGCTGATGTCACAGCTTTTGGCTCCCCGCCGTGCGTTTGAACGGATTTGTTTGGTTGATAATCGGCGTGTTGTAATACTAAAAATGACGTTTACTATTACAGGTTTCGCACTGTATGTCTGCTTTACAGTCTCTCGCTATATGAGAAGTCGACGCCAAACAGCGGAAATCGGTTTTCCTTTAGCCTTTTTTCTTCATGTGACTTCGATGCAAAGGTCCTACAAATGATAAGCATGTGAGAGCCACGATGCAATGGGCACATTCCGTCCTTCACTTGACCAATTTCGGTTTTCTGCACAGTGGTCTTCTTTACCATTGCTGTGGCATGCTGAAACCTTGACCTATCACTCCTACTTTCATCCAGCTTCTTTGGCACATCTGGATCCCTAAGCTTATAGGCCATGTTACTGAGGAAGTCTGAAAATGTGTGAAAGTCTGGGAAAGTTGCTAGCTCCTTTTTGCGACTAGTTACTTTGTCTCTTCATTTGTTGATCACAAAAGACGGCAGCTTCTCAACTATCGGGTTCAACCCATGGGGTGTATTTAGGATGATCAGATGAGGCAATTCCTCCATCTGAGCAGCTGCATCTCTACACGTGTCTGCTAACTCTAACAAGATTTTTGTATCGTTTGGTTTTATTCGGCTGAAGTTGGTGAGCCTCTTTATAATCTCCGAAGAGATGACTGTCTGATTCCCAAACCGCTTCTCCAGTTCCAACCAGGCACCATTATAAGCCTTCTCGACGTCTCCTACGTTTCTCAGCCGATATCGATCTACCAATCTTCTTACCTCTTCGGATGTATACTTACTAAGGAAAGTTAGTTTTTCCACTGTATCTATACACCCAGCTTTCACGAGGCTGTGGAAGGATCTCCTCCATGGTAGGAACATTAGTGGGTCTCCGGAGTAAACATCCGGTTCCTGAATGGGTAGCCTATGTCGTGCCATCATCTTGATGTATTCTTCTGTAATCGATTTGAAAGGAGGGGGCCGATGGATTTAGTTTAGGCTCCGACTTGGATTCTGTTGTGAGATTGAGTAAAGGTGTTGGAGCAGTTCCACTAATTTTGACTTTTGGTGTACACTCATGCAGGCGTTTTTCTGTGTAAACTGCACCGCAGCCAACGTCTTTAATAGGCGAGTTAAGCGAAGGCAGTGGTTGGTACAATGTAGGATTTGCACTTCCTAGATCAGATGGTTCTGGAGTTAGATCAAGAGCTGGTGTAGGCATTGGTCTGTTATGTTTAGGTGTCGTTATTGAATTAAATTGTTGTTGGTCTTGATGGGACATGTTGCTAATCATTTCTTTATTCAGTACAGTTTTACTGTTATCAGCATGCCCAGGACTAAGTTTCACTACATACGCTCGAGTTCGGGCATAAACTAACATGCGGTTACCGCAGAGCAACTCGTCGAGTAATGTTACTGTACTCGGTAATAAACGCCAATTAACTAACAACTATGCTAAACTCTATAGCATTAAAAATATATATCACTACAGTATTATGATTAAACAATAGTGTCAATTAAGATTTCCTTTGGGCTTTGGGCCTCATATGATTCTGACGTTATGAATGAAATTAAGTTAAAAATGATTACGACTACTTCACTGACTGGCTACTCTTATCTATATAGGTAGCGGAAAATGGCTGCAGTGTAAAACATAGGCTAGGCCTGCAACACTATAATCATACGATGCTAATACAATGACAATACAACTCATATAACTTTAAACAATAATCATTAGTAAACTCACAATTCGCTGAACTCCCTTGGGTATCAAACCGGCATCTGAATCTTAAATAGTGAAAATAGCTAAAAGAATACCCTACACATTATTACAATGACTTCCCTTCTCATGGATGGTAATGGTGAAGTGAAACATAATCTCAAATGGGACTTCCCTGGATGTTACCCGCAACCCATGTAAACATATAAAAAATTGCCAGTGGGCAGCACAAATACTTTGGCTATAAATTTCTATTATTAATAGCATTTTTTAATTTTTTGGTGACGTCACACTCACACTATAGTTAGCATGCATACGTCATAAGCTAGATTACGCCACCTTTTCCTAGTAAGGCAAACTTTCCCGGCGTGATTTTTTTCATGGATAAACAAACACCACAGCTTTGCACATGAATGCCTTGCCTAGCTAGGGCTACAATAGCCGCATAGTTAGCATATAATACTTAAACAACTGAATTATTCTTAGGTCCCATAGTTACTTTATTTTCTTATTTTAATTTATTTCTTTCGAAAGTGTACTTTTTATCACATATAATTGCACTGTCTACTTAGGCCTAGTCCTAGTCTTCTTATGCCTCATTGTCCCTCGCTATACACAGTACATACGGTAGGCTAGCCCTCCCCACTCTACAGACATTTGCTAGGCAACAGAACGTGGTTGCACCTTTCTTCCCAGGTGTTCATGAAACATTTGCATATTGTTAGCTAACCAGCTGCGTGTATTCCTTTGTGAAAATGAGTACCGCGTCGTACTTATTTCCACAAAGCATTTGCATCACCTATGGAAAGGGCGAACTTCGAATTGTCTCCATATCTTCGCTAATTATTATCACCGTAATTTAGCTTACACTTATGCATGGAGGGAGCACTTAAAATGTACAATAATAATTTCACTACCCGAAAAACCCCAAACTTTATTCATGCATTACATAAATAGTTTCATCTTGCTGTACTCCAACATCACTGGCGCATATAGTAACAACCAACTAGCAGACCATTTCCGGTCACACATTACTCTCCATAACGCAGCTCCCCCTAGTTCCGTGACCTCTGTGTCTCTCACAGGATCTAGCAGTCATTGTGAAAGAATCACAAAACACGTGAATACATGAAGTGCTGTGTCGAGTGGGCTCTCAATTAGCCGCCTAGCTAGGCCTACGCCTTCTTCAACAATTTTTACTTCGGAAAACTTAGATGTTTGTGGTCTGTAGATTATGATTACATCCAAAGGCAGCGTAATAAGGCAGGTAGGAGTTTCAGCAATACTTTTTGTTTTTGGTAATTGTCTGGTCTTAGAGAGGCGGATCAACGAATTTCAGAGCAGTGTTTTGTGTGTGGCGCGTCCAGTGTCCATGTGCTTGTTTAGGTTTTGGTTCGGCAGAAATGACGTCATCACCCAATTAGCATGTTGTTTATTAGCCAGGTTCTCACGAGAGCCCTAGTATCCGGAACGGGCGCTAACCGTTAGCACCTGTGTGAGAACGCCCGATCGGTTAGCGCTAACCGTTAGCAGTATCCGGATATCGCTAACGGTTAGCAAGCGCTATCGGTTAGCAAGTTAAGCGCGTTTTTATCATCAACTAATCACACGTACACGTTTACAATTTTCAGTTTCTTATTGGCCAGTGATTCGATAATCATATTTTGTTGGTATACGGATCGGGATTTTCTCGTATGGACGCACGGCAGCTAACGGTTAGCAGGATCCGGATCCTACTAACCGCTAGTAGCCGTGTCAGAACATAGCCACTATGAATATCTGTGCCAACTGAGAGATGCTAAAATATAGTCTCTTTTAATTGCCCTAAAATAGCATGAAAAGCGGGATTATTTAAAAGTAAAGAGATTCCAGGTATTACTAACAGTTTAATTTATATATATATATATATATATATTATATCTGTCTCTTATACACATCTAGATGTGTATAAGAGATCTTATAATATATATTTACCCCTTATTAATATTTTTTTTTTCTCTTTTGTGGGAGTCAAACCCACATTTATTTCAAGCACATAATATTTCTTCAACTTTCCATTTCACAATAAAGATCACACAACATTATATTAATAATAACATCTTAATTAGGCACTTATAAACATTTAATATTGCAAGATCCAAACATTGCAGTTACCAATGTAAATAGTGGGATAAAATTGGAAAAGGCTTATACGATATTTTCGTTCTCTCCTTTACATTATACTGTATACTGTCCTTTAAAATTAATAATAATAACTAAATGTTATTGATTAAATTATTATATTGCTTTGAAATGTGTTATAATACATGAGCTTAGTCTAATATTTATATATGCAGTAAATACCATATTGTTTACACTTCTCACTACCTACAACACTATCACACACAACATCATTGACAACTGAGGATACGTTCTTAACTCATTATTATGTTATATACTCTAAAAATTATCAATAACAACTTAAAATTTCGATTTTCATTGATTTA